AGAGAACATGCTGCATGTGCACCGTGCATTACTCAGATACCTCGGAAAAAAATGCAGCCGAACCAGAACTATTACACATAAAAAAAGGTTAAAACAACAACGTGCACCGAGGTGTGGCAAACCTGTTGACCACATCGCTGTAAACACAGTCAGTGTGCTTCTTTTGGATGGCCAAACCTCAATTTCCATTTTTTTTTTTTTTTAATTTAACAACAGGCGTGTTGTTAAAGAAATCACAATAATGTGATTGATATTGTCATGGTGATGTTTTTTCATTGTCATCATTTGGTTAATGGTACGTGATGTGCAAAGTGGTCATCAGTCAGTTGGATGATTGAAACCAAAATGTAATTTAACAAATGTTTTAGCCTTAAAAAAATTTAAAAAATAATCTGCCAAAATTATTTAAACGTCTGATCTCTCTTTTAAAGATTTCTTTTAGGTTTTTTAGCCTTTATTGTAGCCTTTATTCTGCTTAGTTTGACTGCCAAACACTGACTGACGTTTATGTGCAATTTTTCAAACTGCACACATGTCTTTGCAGTTTTCTTGTTTTCTTTAAGATCGTTATTTGATATGTTTTTCCACAAAAATGACTCACATTTTCCTCACACTCAACCTTAATCCAGTTTTGCCAACTGAGGTCATCTGATGATGTAAGTACATTTTGAGTTTCACCAGCAGATGTTAAAAATGAATGTCTGGAAATGGGTAAAAGTTCAGTCGAAAAAGATTTAAGAATTGTGAATTTTCCCTTTTCTAAATATTTTTAATAATATTATTTAAATTCAATAAGAAATTCAATAAGGTTTTATTTATATAGCACCACATTAAAGTTTTCCTTTGGCTTTTTATATTGTAAAGACCTTACAATATGAAATAGACGAGCCACATGATCAAACGAACCTTTAAGCACAGCACTTGGTGGGAAGGAGGAACTCGATTTTAACAGGAAGGACCTTTAGCTGTCCTATAGGCTCAGGGTGGGGCAGCTAGCATCCAGCTTGACCAGTATAGAGGTGAGAGACGAGAGAAAAGGACTGCTTAGAGAGATCTTGGATAAAACGCAGACTGTGGCAGCAGACAAACATTGCCATGCAGCGGTGGTGTGAATAAACGCACTGGGAGAGAAAAGAGGGGAAGACATTTTCAGTGCATCATGGGAAGTCAACCAGCAGCGCGAACCTACAGCAGAACAACTAAAGGATGGTTCAGGGTTATCTGATTCAGCCCAACAACTATAAGTTTTATAAAAAAGAAAAGGTTGGGATGTTTGTCCTGGACATTTGTTTAATGTGACAGATGGCAAAAGTGTTGCCCAGAGGTGCAGCTCGTTGTAAATGTTGAGCACACCCTCTGAATGCTCTAAAGAGAGCTCCACAGTCTCTAAATATGATGAAAATGAGTGCTTGAATGATTAAAGGCAAGTAAAACTCTTTTCTCCCCCTGAAGGGAGTGAGTATGTAATTGGTTTCATTTGTTTAGTTTTTTTTGTCTGTCTGTCCATCTGTCGAGTCACCACAGTTTTCAAAGTATGTTCAAATTTTATGTGAGGGTAGATACTAAGAACAGCACAGGCAATTTCTTTTTGCCCTAAAATCAGTGAAAACTTTATATTACTCACAATTTTTTGTGAAGCATTTTCAAACTTCAAAGTATACTAGGCCTTGGGGGACACAAGTACCTAGTGTGGCTAAGCATCTGACCTTGAGCTTCAAATTTCAAGAGAATCTCAAGGTTTCCTTTTAGCTCATATAAGCCAAAATCTGCTCCATACAAATGGTTAAAGATTATAAACTACACCTTATGTATAGGTACAAGGTCAGGGTCATAAAATTTAGGATAAAGCTTTAGTTTCCAAAGGATCATATCCAAACTTTTAAATGATATATTAGTTATTAGGGGTTATAAGAACTTTCTTTGAGCTCTTTGAAACATTTTTTTTCAACACACATTAAATGAGTTCACAATGACACAAAAAGATGAATACACTACACCAGATTTCCATCTCAGTATAAACGTCAGTGTTTTTGTGTAGCCCTTGCCCTTCGGGGCTCTCTAAGGGCTCCTGTTGTTTTTTGCAGTTACTTTTCTTTAAATGTAAATTCTGAGTTTGTCATGTTTGTCATGTATAATTAGAATCTTATAAGAATCTTAAAATCAGTACGATAATGTACAGTGTAAAGCCTGAGTGATGTGTTCATACATACTAACACCTGTTAAAAGACAAGTGTTAGACTAACTGCAAACGCTGGAGAGAAGGCTGTTTAAATAGAGAGACGTTCAGTAGTCCAGGCTAGAGGTGATGGACGCATGAATGAGTTTTTCTAGGTCTTTAGGAGGAAAATAAGGCTTCATTTTGGCAATTTCATGTAACTGATAAAAACTTTGGACACTTGCTTCTCACTTGCAGTATACCTTACTCCTTTACTAGATTTAAAAAGCAAGTTTATTTATTTAGTCAATTTAATTTTGGTGATAATAACTTTCACAGGATTTTATACAAAATGGTATCTTAAACAGAATTTTGAGAAATACAGAACTAATATTTTTGAGTCTTGGTTCCTGTTTTGATTTTATGATTGTGTTTCTTGTGTTTTCATTTTTCTGTTTTCTGTTTTTTTTTTTTGCCTGTCCCGTTTGGATCTTTAGCCATCAGAATTGTTGTCTGAAGGCCAAGAAAGATGCCAAGTGGATTTACTTTACCAAGTGGATCATCATGGCCTTGCCATATTGGTCCATTTGACCTTTATTATAATTATGTATTTATTTTAATTTCGTTTTTTAAAGATAAGACAGACATGACTGGGGGACTGGACAGGGAGAAAGAATGACAGAAAGAGAGGGAGAGAAAGAAAAATAGAGGAGAGAAGAGATGGTGAGAAAGGGGGGAAGGGAAAAAAAGAAAAACAAACAAAACAACTGGATCACCTGTATGGAGATGAAAAACCAGAAGAGAAAACAAAAAACAAAGAGCAACATAATAAAAACAACACCATCACAAGAAACTAGCTAACAATAGATAACAGTAGATACTTTTTTAATTTCACCTGTTAGGAATGAAAAAAGAAAACAAGCAGAAGAAAACGAGAGCTATAGAATAAACAACATCACGATGATATATGGGAATATAACTGTAAATACTAAATATTAAACATTATTGTGCAGCACGTAAGATCGAGAGCGCACAGTGTGCTTTGAGGTAGGAGCCAAAAAGGGTGTAGTTTGTGTGTGTGATCACCCGTGTGTACACCTGTGAGCATGGACGTGTTTGTTTTTAAAAGGTTCCTTCATGTAATGATCTGCTAGAGGGTGTGGGGGGGGGGGCCACAGCCCCGGCCTCCTGGGCATGAGCAGGTATGGAGGAGATCTGTTTTCCTAGTGGTGGCTATAGCTGACCTGTGTGTGGACCTCACCTCAGCTCACAGAACCTGAGACTGTTCACTATGTTTAGCTTGCTGAATGATACAGATGATCCAAAAAGTTTTTTCTTGAGATTTGGTGGCTTATACTGTATTTTATTGTCTGTTTCCGATGCACTTGTACAGATAGTGGATGTAGCTTCATAATAACAAAGCATTAGCTGATAGCTTAGCACTCTACCCTCAACAAATGCAGTACTCTAAGGCTCCAGCAAAACCAGCAGTAAATTCTTCCTTAGCCCACAAAGGGGAGACAATCAAAGACGAATGAAGACCAATGTCCAGGTCTGAATGTTTTTACCATTTTCTTTTATAAAAATGTTTATTTGAAGTCTTTTTTATTTGTTTGTTTGTTTGTTTGTTTTTACAGTGAATGGAGGCAGATATTCCTAAAACTTGAAGTAACAATAGTAAAGTCTGTACATTTCCATGCTTTCTTTACTGTTCTTCCTCGAAATAGACTATATTTTATAAACCAGAGAAAGTGGTGCCAGTAGTGCTAACATGAAATTGTCATGGTCCGGGTGAGTGCTTGGGTTTTTCCACAGAGTCACCATTTCCACCCCTGGGTGGAGTCACTGCATTCCTGCGTGTCTCCACACCTGCTGGCAACTGAGCTGCCAGTACTGATGAGCAGTGCTCACCACGACTCTTTGCCAAGTCTTCAGCTAACCACAGTTAGTGCTGGCCACCACAGAGTTTCACAGAAAGAGGGTTTTGTTCATAGAAACATTTATTCAGCCTGTGTTTTCCTTCCCTCAGCCGTCCTGTTGTCTGCCACCTCCATCCTCTGGCAATGCACTCCTTCATCCTGAAGCTGGTTTGTACTCGGCAGTTCTTTGCATCACAGCACCTCTTGGATCAGATTGGTGATCTAATTGATCACCAATCTGATCTAATCTGACCACTTTCCCCGCCCTTGCCATTCCAGCTCCCAGTTTGGAGAGCTGCTTCCAGCTACACTGCAACAGTTTTAAGCTGCTGAGGGTTTTACTTGAGTATTTCCTCTTCACTCACCATTTTCACTCTCTTAGTTCTGATATAACTTTTTACTTATTAGTTATCATTCAAAAACACCCAGAGGCGGTCAAGTGGGAGTGACTGTTCTTACAGACACTGGGAAAGTGTGCACGAGTTGAAGAAGAGCTGTCTAAAACTGACAGTGGCACTACGAAATGTGCAATGACTGCATTAAACAAAGAAGGAAAATAGAGCGCTGATGATTGTAACAACACAAAACCTTTCTTTTGCTATGATGGTGAGATTTCTAAATAAGGTCTTTGTCAGCATTCTTACTTAATTAATTTTAGAATTTTAAGTAAGATGCCATATTGAAATGAAGAAAGCAAAGCAATGAAGTAAAGTAAGAAAAGTAAAGATGATACGGGGAAAATGTTAAAGTCAAAACGTAAAGCCTAACTCGTACTTTTTCTTCTGTTTGTTTTTTTTGCCCTGTTTTGTTTCGCCTCACATTTTAATGTCGTTCTTACTGAAGCCCGATGTCCTCAGATTCAACCAAACATCTGTGTTTACTCATGGCAAAAATGTTGATCCCGATCAAAGAAAGCAAATAACGGGATGAGGCCTGAAATTACTGCAGAGTGCACCTTTGACCTGGTCTCCATCATGAACATGGAACAGCAGGAACTGGTGAAGGAGGCAGCCAAGAACACCAACACATCTGGCTGGGACTGTGCTACAGCTGTGCTCTTGATCTCTGGTTCTGGGTCAGTGATCAGCTTCTCTGCTATGATAACTGGGCCAATGAGACAGAGACTGGACAGTTTGACATGTCTGTAGAAGCAAGCAGGAGAAGACGAGTGGTCCAAGAAAACAGATGAAGAGTTAAACTTCATCTATTCTTTCTGACAGGCTTACATTTATATTTCTAGCAAGTCTGGAAAAATACAATATTGTTGCATCGTCCAGGCTACAAACAATAATAACTTTTCTTTTGTGTTTATTCTCCGTTTACTTCTTTGAACACTGTTATATATTTATTACAGGATGACCACACTAGTATAAAACACCTCACTACACATAAGATGTGTATTATTGGGAAATTATACTTAAATATTGATCTAAATAACATTGATAAGAATGAGTGTTTTTCCTTGTGACACTTTGTGTTTGCAGACCAACATGAAAAACTGCAGCGACCCAACCAGTCACTACGAGATTTTAATCTTCTTTGCATCCAGTTTCATCCAGCGAGAACCAACAAAGTCTAATAACAATATGTGCATGATGAAGTTACAAACCTTAATATAATTCTGTTCGTATGTTTTTAATGACTGTTCGGTGTGGACCACATTTTTCTACAGTCATGTTTCAGTGTTTTTCTCTGAGCGGTGTGACATTCAGTGTTGTCTCCATCGATGTGGGATGTGCCAGCCTTTGTGGCTGGTCTCCTGTCCCTCTTATTCAAGGTAAGTGATGGAACAAACACTTGGTTTCTTTTTCATTTGCTATAAAAATGATTTGCAAACAACTGTAAAGGAGCCAGCACCCCGTGTTCACCTTTATGGGTTTATTAATCACTCAGGGACACTTTCACTCTCAGCACCCACGGCAGCCAGTTCTGCAGTCAGCTGCACCCTCCCCCTCCATCTCCGGTCTGTGACATCACTGAAAAAGGGGAAAACCTCATCATAAATCATCCCCACCTGACCCACCAACCTCCCTGGCACCACCCGTCCCCTGCAGTTGATCCAGGGACCACACCTCCACCACATTTAGATTTACTGATCACTGAAAACTTTGATATAAATCTACTAGAATTCGACACATCACAGATAGTCACACACTATCACTGGCTCACGTGGCTGACATCCACCAGCTGTGTGTGCTTTTTAAATAGGAAAAAAGGGATTCGTGGGAGTAAAAGTTTCAGTTCATCTTCATAAAGTACACCGTTAGAAAGCAGATGTCAAATGCTGCGTCTTTAGAGTAGCTATAAATAACCATATGATATGAATCTCACCTTCAAAGTGGATGAAAGGCATTATGGTGACAGATAATTTGAATTTATTGAAATGTTTTTGTTTTTAAAATGTGCAATAGCTGCACATTTCCTGGTCCGGTTTTGAATTTAAGATCGGCCTGTCGTCTTTCCTGTTTTCCATGGCTTCATCTAGATTAGATTGTGAATGACTGACTTCTGTTTTGAATGTTCAAATACATAATACAGAATCCTCTTGTTAGAGCTGAATGTTTCATTCAATGACCCAGAATAAGAACAGATCAGAGTGAAGCAGGGACAGAGGAACAACCTGACGTAAGTAGAAACTTTGTAGTGTAATTTGACATTATTGGCTCAGAAAAGAGGTTAAAATGTATTTCTTTAGAGATTGATATTAATGGATTTTCACATATTAAATGTAGAGCCCATGTTTTATTCTTGTTTGCTGTCACAGGGGGTGGCTATAATGACAGAAACAAAAATAGCAATATAAGGCAGTGATAAAATAGTCCTGCAGTAAAACAGTTTGTGTTAAAACGGCTGTTCCAAGCTGTGAAATTGCAAAACAAAACAAAAAGTCTCAGCTTCTTGTTTATTTTCCTTGTTTAGTTGAATTTTTATCATCTGCACATTTCTCTCCTTTGTTATTTCTATCCATCCTTCTATTGAGCTTTCTTAGACAAAGCAGTGAAACCATATTAGCTTTGACAATTGTCTTTTCTCCACTTCTAAAAACAACAATTTTAAAAAAACTAACCACACACTGAAATACTGGGTCTATCAAACAGAGCAAAGATGCACTGGAGACCTTTTCTGCTCATTCTAATGGGTAAGTAGATAATTTTACTGGAAAAACTACAAAATAATTTACTTCAGATTAGTGCGCTGTTACTGTGTAATCACTAAAAGCATTGAAACTACTCGTTTTAGGCATGTGTTGTTTTCTTTATGTGATGTCTTCCCTCCTGATTTAACTTTCTTAACAACTTCTCTGACATCATTACGTTTATACATTTATTAAGGTGTATATTTGTTTTTTTCTTTTTAGGTCAGTGTTCCTTGTTTTCATGCCAGCGCTATAAGTACTATTTTATTAAAGAGCCTAAAACATGGGACGAAGCTCAGAGCTACTGTAGAGAAGGATATAAAGACCTGGCCACAGTGCCTGACGTGACATATAGGGAGACTCTGTACATAGATTCTACAGAGAATCAAGCAAACGCCTGGATTGGGCTGTACAGCATCTCAGGAAGAGAAAACAGGATGTGGCACTGGTCTCTGCCAGGAGTGGAGTTCCATGATAAAGAGATGAAATGGAAAGTAGGGGAACCTAATGATAAACCTGAACATCTTGAGAACTGTGGACGGATTAAAAGCCCTGATGGGCTGGTGGATGTTGGCTGTTCTAACAATCACGCTTTTGTCTGCTATAATGGTGAGAATAAGGCAATCATTTATTAATTAATTAAATAACTGTTCATATTTAAATATAATTCACCTGTAATGAATATGAAAAGAAGCACTGCTTTTTTTTTTTTTAGAGCAGAGCAGGCTGTATGTTTCATTAATTTACTGCACCATCTTGTGGTGCCAAATGGTATTACACAAAATAACATCAAATTCAAATTCAAATCTTATTTGTCACATACACAGTCATACACAGTACGATATGCAGTGAAATGCTTAGACAACTGCTCGTGACCTAAAATAAAAGACTATGAAAAGGAAAGGAAATAAATTGTGTAAATTTAACTGGGAAAGAATAAAACTTCAGAGAACTGTTTCTCTGCCACACAGAGCAAAGACATCCTGAGCATGATGTCACAGCAGTGAGTATTCCCCTAACGTTGCTACAGAGAGTAAAACATGAACGTATTTTTACAATCATACTTCAGCTTTGGACTTTGTTTTAAGTCGCATTTTTTGTTAGTGGGTTGTTTCGACATGCAGTATGAATTATTGAGCTAGTCATTAATTATTGATCTTATACAGCACAATGAAAGGATCACAATTTTCAGTATTCCAGGTTAATATTTTCCAGTTTTCATGAAAAAAACTCTTGTCTGAGATCAGAAAATGTGCATTTCTTGTGACACTTTTTTCTCTTTATTCCACAGAACAAAACAAATCACTCCATTTGATTGACACAAAAAAAAAGTGGCGTGAGGCTCAGAGCTACTGCAGACAGCACCACACAGACCTGGCCAGTGGAGCAGAACAGTTAAAGGAAGCAGTCAGTAAATTATCTCGTAAACCACCATCATGGATCGGCCTGTTCAGAGACACCTGGAGGTGGTCAGATGGGAGTAATTCTTCTTACAGACACTGGGAAAGTGTGGATGAGTTGCCTGTAGAGCTGTCTAAAACTGACAGCGGCACCAGGAAGTGTGCGATGATTGCATTAAACAAAGAAGGAAAATGGAGCGCTGATGATTGTAACAACACAAAACCTTTCTTCTGCTATGATGGTGAGATTTGCAAAGATTCAGCTTTTACATCTGGTTTCTGTCAGTTTTCTTACTGAAGGAATAAATGTTAAAATAATTTTTTTAATCTTTCTTATTCTCACTGAAAGAAGTGTACATGAGGAACGCTGGTATAAGTTTCATCATCAAGCTAAATAACACAAACTACTATGGAGTTTTCTTCTGTTCTTATAAACGAACATCATGTGTTCTTTCATGACAGAAAAATGGATCCTGATCAATGAAAGCAAAAATTGGGACGACGCCTTAATTTACTGCAGAAATCACCATGATGGCCTGGTCTCCATCACAAGCAGTGAACAGCAAGAACTGGTGAAGGAGAAAGCCAAGAATGCTACCACTCCGTATGTCTGGCTGGGACTGCGCTACAGCTGCGCTCTCGATCTGTGGTTCTGGGTCAATGACCAGCTTGCCTGCTATCAGAACTGGGCCAATGAGACAGACACTGGACATTGCGACCTGGCTGTAGCCATGGAGACAGGAGGAGAACATAAATGGTTGAAGAAAGATGATGAAGAGAAGTTTAACTTCATCTGTTCTCTGTGACTGGTTTTAAAAGCAGTGTAGCAGCCATGGGTTAAAAATGTGCCAATACTAGAAACAGATGACACGTAACAATCATTTAAGTTGATCAGGCATAAAATTATGACCCCGGACATGTAAGGTGAATTACACTGATTATCTCTTCATCACAGAGCCTGTTAGTGGGTGGGATACATCAGGGACCAAGGCAACATTTTGTCCTCAAAGCTAATGTGTTAGAAGCTGTTTTTTATTTTTCAAACTGTAGAATGCTTTATTCCTAAATAAGTTTAAAAGTGATACGTACTGTAGAGTAAAATATACCACAGCATTTGTATGCTTATATAAACTTTCCATAATCTGACAAAGATACAAGATTTATAGTAATGCTTATCCTGAGCAAGTAACAATTTTTATTAAAAAAAAACATACAAAGAGAAACAAAAACCTTTGATTAAAGAAAGAAAAATAATAGCATGAGGCCTTAAAATAATGCAGAGTGCATGTTTGACCTGGTCTCCATCACAAACCTGGAACAGCAGGACTGGTGAAGGAGGCAGCCAAGAACACCAACACAGCCCACGTCTGGCTGGGACTGTGCTACAGCTGTGCTCTTGATCTGTGGCTCTGGGTCAATGACCGGCTTTGTCTGCTATGAGAACTGGACCAATGAGACGGAGACCGACTGCAGCAACGGAGAAAGAAAAACAAGAGTTACAATCACAACCTAAAAACACTGTTAAAAGTATGTTTTCTCTGTTTCCAGGCTAGAAACAAGCGACACATAACAACGATAGCATTTCTTTGTTTTTATTCTTCTTTTGAAGTTTATTTCTTTGTATTCTGTCACATATTTGTTACAAAATAGGAATCTGTTCTAGCTCAATAACTCTTCACCTGTTAGATAACATAAGGTGATGGCTTTGTAGTGTATACAGCAATTATAAGCTTATTTATTTTTATTATTATTTTATTATCCTTTATTTAACCAGGAAGATCTCATTGAGATTAAAAACCTCTTTTTCAAGGGAGCCCTGGCCAAGATCGGCAGCAGCAGGTGTCTCACAGTTACAGAAATTACTCAAACACAGGCAGCAACAACACAAATGCAACAATAAGTGAAAGAATACAAATAAAATAAAATTCAAATAAAAATAAAATCTGCACGTACCTGAGTCTGGCACAAGGTAAGTCAAAATATATAATATCTAATATGTAAATAACTGTCTTAACCCCCCAAATGCAATGTTTATATATAATTATTTAAATTTAAGGACTTAAGTAAAATGTTTATTTTTATTTTTCTGACCCTGTTTAACAATGTTGTCAGATTTTCCTGTGACCTGGGAACACTGGTATAACTGATAATGAAATTTGAAACAAAAATATTAAACATTAAATATTTTTATTATTAGTGTCAGTAAAAAAGTGTGTATTGTTCAGGATTTTTTTAAGTAATTAAGAGAACACTAGATGGTTCACATGAGCCAACAATTTCACAGCAATTAAACATGTTCACATTTCCCATATGGTCTGTGCGACAGTGTAGAACCACCCCTCATTTCTTTACATTCTGCTTGGAAAATGGAAAATTGATGCAGTGATGTAGTGAAAAATTTACAAATAAAAATGGAAACGCAGCAGCTGAGGCAAAAAGAGTTTGTGCAATTTTTATAAGCTTTAAACCAGCATGTTGATTCTTCAGAACCAGACATGATGGTCAACACAAATTATACATTTTGTGTATATTTTTATTCACAGGTGATCATTTTTCATTTAGTATAGTACAATATTTAGCATATTTTTTGATTTCCCAAAAAATGATTTATTTAGCACAATATAGTGGGCTACATCCTGAACTCAGTATCACACTATTGGTCTCATTAATATACACATCCTGGTTCCTGTGCCAAATCATTGACGGATGTTTTCTCTGATTTCTTAATGACGTGACCTTCAGTTACTTTGTATCTGCTGTAGTCGTTGTAGCTTGAATCAAATTTGTTGAGGGCACCTTTGGGATGTTTTTTTAGATTGAACTAAAGAAATGAGAACAAATGCCTCCCTCTGTGCTCTTATGAAAGAGCACAGAGGGAGGCATTTGCTTTGGAAAAAACTGTATATTTGCCCAACATCTGTAAAGCAGTGGGTGTGATTTATTCTGCCTCCACCTTTCTGTTTGACTTTGCTCTTTTATTTAATCTCTTAGTGTTTCTGTGCAATGAGCAAAACAACAAGAACAACAGCAGCAGCGATGAAGTTTCATGCTTTTGTTTTCATTCTTCTCTTCATCTGCACGTACCTGAGTCTGGCACAAGGTAAGTCAAACAGAATGGACTGGATGCAGAACTCAACATTTCCACTTAAATATCTACTTTTAACAGAATTCACAGAAATGTAACCATGCAGCTCTTCACAGTATCTTCTAGAAATCTGACTAAAAATATGCACCCATCTTTTGGTGGGGTTTTTTATGCCACATCTTGGGTTAACCACAGTTCCTGAAGCCTCATTCCTTTGTCTTTGTTTCTGAACACCTGTTGTTTTTTTTAGTGAGGGGATGTGGGAATAATACTGGACAGCACTGACTGGCAGACGTCCACAACATTTCCAAGCGGGGTGGTTTATTTCTCCGTTACTTTCTAACTTTCTCTCCAGGCTCGTATGGCAAGTGCTGCCTCGGCTATGTTAACGACATAAAAAAGAAGAGAAACATCGTCGGTTACACTATGCAGGAACCGAACACTGTCTGCAACATGACAGCTGTTTTGTGAGTATACAGTGTAAGATCCTTCACTTCTGACTGGTTTTGTTTTCCTGCACTGTCAAATTCCAGCATAATTAATAAGCACAGACTGACGGAAAAAGAAAAACCCAATTTAGGAAGTGCATGATCGACATTTAATGAAGTGTGTGAGCTTCTAAATTAAGCTTGAGAACTTTAAATAATGATACTCACATATGTAGGTTTCAGATGAAAAAGAAGTCCAAACCTGTGTGTGCCAATCCAGACGATGATTGGGTCCAGAGGGAGATGAAGAGGCTGGATCCATCAATGCTGCATTAGGTAAAAAGATACATACCATGCTCTCCCAATGTCATACACTCTCAGAGGCTATGTACATTAACCATAATACACACCGCCTCTTTACAGAACGAGAAAAAGAAGAAGAGGGGACAGTGGACATCTTTATCTAGCTGTCCGAGATCGGATATCATCTTTAGTCATGTACACAGTTTACTAATACAGAAATATGTTGTATACTTAATGTTAGAGCCAGTATAAGTAAAATAATTTATGTGAACCATCTATGATACTATTCAACTGTGTGTGTATGTGAGAAAAATGTATCCTTAACATGCTGTTAACAGATAAGTTGAAGTTTTTTAAAAATATACACAGATTTGCTCATTTTTGCATCGGCACTAGAGTTGGACTTTGTGTTTTTCTTTTGCAAATAAAGAGCAAAAACAAACAGAACCTTTGGTTTGTATACTGCAACTTGATGATAGAAAATTAAAAACACTGCACTGCAACAGCATCCTTGAGATGTGCTTGAAAGGGAAATTTGTACAACCAAGATATGCAGAACAGCATCTCTAAACACAACACATATGGAACTGTAGATGGCCTACAGCATGGATCCACCCATGTGCATCCATCGTGTCTTGTATCCGCAGTTCTGGCTGGTGGTGGGGGTGTAATGCTGTGGGGCACGGTTATTATAGTTAGCTAAAACTAACTACAAAATTAAAACTAGATGTAAAAACAAAACCCTTTAGTTAACTAAAGATTGAAATAAAATCTAAAAACAATTATGTGACCTTGGAAAACTGAAAAATAAAAAATAAAAACATGGGAGAAATATCTCCATTTTCAGTATTTGTAATATTGGTAAAAAAAAAAACCATTATGAGCTGGTCTGATGAGGCATTGATGAATGTATTTACTGAGACTCTTAATGCCAACAAGAGTGTAACTACTTTCAAAAAGTTCTGTATTTTTATTGTAATTTGTGCTGACTTTTGACATAAAGTATTTACAAATTAAACTAAACTAATTAAACCAAACACTTTTGAGCAAGATATACTAAAAATACTTTTTATAGTTTGAAAATACAAACTATAAAAACTCTGGTGTTGTGGATATTTACTTCACTTTGGTACCAACTTACACTGCAGCATATTATTGAAACAGTAGATTAACATCATGGATGTAAAGCCAACAAATCTCCAGTAACTGTGTGATGCTGACATATCGATATGGACCAAAATCTCAGGGGAAGCTTTTAGCACCCTGCTGTGGCAGGTGAAGGCAAAATGGGGTCCAGTACTCCCAGAAACTATTGCAACAACAAAATCGTCTTCAGTGCAAATTTTTGACAGCTAATTTAATTTTACAACAGACTTGTAAAAAACCTAGGATTTTATTTGTAACTTATTTTGGCAAATATTTAGGGTGATGTTGCTGAGATGGCCTGTTTTATAGTCTCACGGAAGACTAAAGATATTAGTTTTGTTTGTTTATTTGTGTTTTGTTTCATTGTTTGTTACTTACATTTTGCAACATGAATATTAGATAATATAATATTATTAGAATATCAGAATAGCATTTTAGGTCTTCATCACAAAGGATCATAAGCTCCTTCCACATATTTAATGCAGGCTCCAGTATACAGTGAATTTTCACCTGGTGTTAGGCAGACAGGATGCGTAACACCAGGTGTGATAATTAAGAAGTCCTGAACAGAGAAGACGTCGATTTCTTTTCCCGGAGAGCAGAGAAGGACAGTCCGGGAGCGGATGCAGTGGAATTCGAGTTGGGGTTGCTCGGAGCTCGACAACAGCTGTACACGGCCAGATCCTGGTGTCTCTGTTCTTTAGAGTCGCTGACGGAACCACCAGGTGGAGTAGTAACGGAGGAGAGCTGCTGCGTACGTGGAGGTAGGCCTACTGTTGGTCGGCGAAGGGTTCGCGGTGCGAATCTCGGACTGAGCGGCTACTAACTGCTGGTTGGACACTGCTGTGGATGTTTTGTCCCATTTCATTGTGCTACTCTGTGCTCGTCGTTTGGGAATTCCTCTCACTGGTTATGTTTTTGGGTTAATATGAACAGTTTTTGTTTTTGGATTTTACACCTTCCTCAGAGGTACTTTGCTTTCGTCTGATTTTAACGAAGGGGAATTAAAATATTTT